TCTCCTAGTTTGAGCCATTACAGAGCAGAAACGTTTTCTTCCATAACATCCATTTCAGATTTATTTAAGGAGAGTTTCATGCACAAAACAAAACTTTGCAAACAATCCAAGTTCTATTCTTTGCTGATTTTGATTCCAAGACACACTGACTGCACAAATATCCCAATAAAACCACATAAAGACAGCAAAGAAAATGACTCCACATCACCATTCTAGTGTGGAATAAGGAGTTTGAAATTTCTGAACAACTGACATTATTCTGTTGCCCTCTCCACTGGAGAAAAAAAAAAAAAAAAAAAAAAAAAAAAAACCACAGCTGAGCTAGGAGGGTTGGTGCACATTGTGACTTCGTGTGAAAAGCATCTCTGCCAGATGAATGAGATAAGTAACAACTTACCACATTTCACTGTTCCTGTGATGAGACACAAGTGGCACGAGTAGAATTTCCTTTGTAAGACTCCTGGACAGGATGAAATTCCACAAGCAAAAAGTATGAGATGCAGATGCTATAAATAATGCAGAGATATTTATGTCTACCTCATACCTTTCACTTCCTTGTGAGCTTATACTCTGGTATTTATAACACATTGCAATTGCAATTCAATTTGACACGGAGACAGTTCCTTCATATGAAGGACATGTCACACCTAGCACAAGAAGAAGTTGATGCTTAAAGAATCTAAGTGATGCTCTAATACAAAAAACATTAATGTTGGGTCCGATGAGTTATGACAATGCACAGGTCAGTCCACAGACAAGATAATTGGTTAATGTAATAATTTCTTTCTTGTCTTGTGGTTTCAATTTCCGTGCAGAACAGTTGCGCCCTTTGCATATTCTGAAGTATGCTTGAGAAGACCCTGCAAGTCTTAGGACCAAATCTGGAACAGAAATAAGATCATATTCTCTGGGAAGAGAAGATATCTCTAAGAGCTTGATTTCTTAAAAAGATTTTCATCATTATGGCCCAACAGAAAACAGTCCTATACCTTTTGCTGAAAGTTTGCCTTTGAAAGTGCTGCCCAGTTGTCCAGGTGTCTGATGGCAGAGTGATAAGCTGATACAGGGAACATCCTGTAAACGCACTGGTTACAATAGACTTTCTCAGGAGAATTAATATTTATTCTGAGTGGGCCAACTGGAAGATGAAAAAAACAAATGTCTAGATCTCATGCACGGTACAGGCAAGATAGCTGCATTGCTGAAACCACAAGAATGAGGGAAGACCTTACCACCCCAAATGAAAGACAGTAATACAACTTTACTTTTCAGCACAATTATGTAAACCGGATGCTTTTAAGCCCCTGATTTCCTCTGGATAATCATGGAACAGCTGTAGCTAAACAAGGTGTCTCATTATAGAAACTTGTTCAAAAAAAATTGCACTAATTACGTTTAAGATACAGGCCAGAACTCAAGGATTGTGTTTTAACACTTGAAACCAAGCAAATTGGGATCTGATTACATGCATTATCACAGGAGTGACCTATTCAAACTACATCACTCTGATTAAAAAGCAGATATGCTCAAAGCAGATAATTTCTCAAGAAGAGTTCAGCACTCAAAAATCTATTTCTGATTTCGGTTGATTAGAATCTAGAGTTCTTCATCTTTGTGGCATACTGCAAAGTTCACCTCCATTGAAAACCTATGGCAAACCTCAACAGAGAGCTTCACAGGACCCTGAAAGTCACTGTACACTTACAAGAAGTTCAAATCCTCTCCTTCGAGTTCTGCTGATGAGCAGAAAGACTCTAAAACTCAGACATTTCAGATGATCATGCCACAAAGTTAGCACATCATCAGCAAATGAGAAAAACCTTAAAAGACTATGAAGGTCCTTGCACACCAAACTTTACACCTTTTTTATTAAGAGCTTGTTGCTCAGACCAGAAACAGATTTTCAAAGGTGCTACACATCTTGGTAGTTTCAGGAAAGAGAAAACCCAGCTGCCCATTAATGTTCAATTTTGATGTTATTAAATACACAGAAAAGTAAGAAAGGTCAAGCTAGAGAACACATTCAGGGAAAAATTTTGCTGCCAGTTTTTTCAGTCAACAAGCAACAGGGAATTTCATGAAATGACAGAGATATGCTCAAAGTTAAATTTGGCCTTGTAAATAGAAAAACAAAAAAACAGCCATATGCAAAGATATTCTGAACAAAATTATTCAGTTGAAGTTCAATGAAACACAAGCTACAACAGCATTTAGGATACACTACTAAATGTGTAACCTACTAAACACTAGAGCACTAGAATACTTACTGTAACAATCATCAGGAAAAAAAAGTACTATTTATGTACACGTTTAAGATGCTTTCAACATATATTCCTTATTAAATTTTGGTCAGTTCTCTAGCATGACTCTGATCAGACTTATGCCACACATAAAGATGATGTAAATTATTCAGATATTGCCTTTTTAATATCTATAAAAGGATCTCTCATGATTACACAGTCTTCCATGATTTAACATAGTCTGACACTTTTTAGCAGGATTGCAGGTTTTATATCACTTCAAAGTTTTTACTACCTGTGTGAAAACTCAAAATACAGCAGATGAAAACAAAATAAAGTTGAGGTCATAGGAAAAAAAAAACAACAGCTCACTGCCACACACTTGTTTTGAAATACACAGAAATTCAATTTTCTGAAATGTGATTTTTATTACTTGAACAAATTATAGTTTACTTGCACAAAATATCTTGAAACAAACAAACAAAAAATTATTTGTAAAAATCAGCACTGTGATAGTCCTGTATTAGTTTAGTAAGCAAAAGACAGTAAATTCAATAACTAGGATGAGGGATGAAAGTCAGGTTTCAGAGTTCCGTTCTAAACCATATGACAAATAAACTATGGAAGCAACAGTAAAAGCAGTACAATAGTAACAGTGAGGGTTAACTCAAGTTCCTTTAGTAGCTTTGCAGTCTAAGAATAGCTTATGTTAGTAAAGCGAAAAATAAACTCTAGAAAGCATAATATACTTATGGTTACAATCAGAATTATAACCATGCTAGCTGACGGAATGTTAACAGATGAGCCATAAACACACACACACACAACTCCACCCATAGTAAATCCACCCTAATTACTCATTTATGAGCAAGAAAATTCAGATTAAAATTGTTTATAATATTGAGGTAATATTTCTAACATCTACTACAGAAACAGCATACAGAAATTCAGACATCACAGTTTAAATAGGATTTTTTTTTAATAGTTATTTACATATTGACTAATCTCGATTAAGACAGAAGATAGCTAAAACAGTCTCCTCAAATTTTGTATATCTAGAAAGCTGTCTACGAAAAAAGAAACAAAGGATACTCAATGTATGCTTTGCTTTTCATTCTGACCGTGAAAAAACAAAGGCAAAAGGACATAAAAGAATGCAAGTTTCAGTTACTCAGCCAAATGCATTACGGTGAAGAGAAAATGTCTTGTTTAGCCAGGTTTTTGGTTTTGCTTATACAAACTTCAGACACTTCAGATCTGTTTTATACTTTCAACATACCAAAGTTCAGAAAGGGTTGCACCAAAAGGTCATATCACAGAAACACAGCAGAATGTAACTACTTGTGTAGCAGATGCGTCATGCAGAGCTGGGTCTAGAGAACATGACCATAGGGCTAGGCCATGCCTACAGCTCGGCCATGCCAACTAGAGTAGCACAGCCCGAACTGCGCTGCACTACACCCGAGACAAGAACACTGCAGGACCAAACCCACCCTTGCAGAAAGAGCCACAATATCTCCCCATCGGTCTGAAATAATTTGCAATCAGTTCTAGCCAATTCATAACAAGATAGTTGACTATGCAGTAGTATGCACTGGAAAAACTCTCCTACCTCAAACAGATGTAGCTCTTACAAAAACTGATTTTTGTTTTAGACCTGAGGAGGCCTGGCTGTGACATTAGCCAGTGATAGTGTTCTGCGTAATGATGGGGCATTTCTGCTTCAGAGTTTCTACGGCCACAAGCAGCAAATCTTTTGCTGTTATGATCACCACCATATTCACCACCGGGAATATATCGAGTTTCCCCTCACTTTCTCTAAAAACAAAGGAGATGGTAAAGAAACTGAGTGGTGTTTATGTGCAGTTCTCCCAGAAAAACACTGGGAACTGTCTCAGGATTTAAGGGACTCCGTCCAGAAATTAAGAAATCCAGGCTCTGTCTAGCTAGCCGCAAACATGACTATTTGATGATACATGCCAAAAATGATGAAATAAAGAATAGATTTTTTAAATTAAATATATGCCCAAGTATGCATAAGTTAACATGACTTCAATCAAGAACACAAGATGATCATCTAGAAAAGAACAAAATTTTCTTTGTTTACTGGAAGAGTTTCCCATACTAGCCAGAACTAAGATAAAACTTAGAGTAATGTTTTTTTCCTGTGCTTGTTTATATGATAAAGGTGATGTTATTTTAAGGAACTTCAACTCTACATTAGATGTAGCAGACTTTGAATTCCACTGGGGAGATCTGAGGTCTGGTTAATTCCTTTTGCCAACCTGTTGTCTCACTGACCCACAGCGATTTGTAGGAAAATCAGTAGAAAATTATAACTATGTAGAACTTCAAGATGTTCATGGCCATATAGATTGCTCTTGTAGATTCGCAAGAGAAAAATACCAAAATTCAGAGGCAAAAGCTTTCAGTTATAACTGGTATAAAAGTCAGGTAACCCTTAAAAAAGTAAAAAAAAAAAAGTTTCTGTCAGGTGAAAACCAATCAAGTCATCATGCTAGCTTTAAAGTCATCCAATTTCAGCAAACACCTTTGATCTATTTCAGTGTTCTGTTACTAATCTACTGCTGATGAAGAAATATGTAAAATGTAGAAATGACAACGAACAACAGAACTTTGTCCAACCTAGACACAGACACATTACAGACTACAGTAGGTCATGGGAAAAGTAAGTCCTCAACCTCATAACACACAAAATTATGAATTCCAACAGCCAAAAAACTAATGTTTTCTGCTTACCTGATACGGAACAATACTCCCATGAGCAGTACCCCAGCGTTTTGCTTCAATTTTGCAATTAAGGTAATTAGCTGCTACATGAGTGAGACATGCAACCTGGAAATGGAGAAAAAGTAAAGTATTCAGAAAAGCTGAAACTTCATTGACAACTTCTCTGAGATTTCCATCTATTTATATGTGCTTCAGATACAGAAATTAAAATATTTATGTCTACATATTATGTAGACTTTTTTAATATGAAGAAAATCAGGCTAGATCCGTATCATGGAAGTGCTTGCATAAGTACAGTTCAATAAACCTGAAAAATAATACAGGTCCTGTAACGCTCGTAACGCTAGACAAATCTATCATTAAACTGCCCTAAGAGATAAGACAGTATTACCCTAAATGTTTGGCGGAATGGTCAACTTCAGTAAAGAAAAAAATCAGTGTCTTGTCCAAAGTCTAGTGGGAAACATGACGGATTTGTGGGATAGATCTCACCATTTCCTGAACCTCAATCTCTCGCTTAAATCACAGTCTTTTCCTCAGTTACAAGATTATCTTTCTGTTTTCTCCTATGCTTCTCATTTTACGTGTTCAAGCTATGGAAAATACTTCTGAATTCTTCATCTCCCCACATGATCTGTAATATTAATTAAGTGGTAGGCCTTGATAAATCATCTGACATTAGAAGATAAGGAGAGATTTATCAAGTTATTAGTCAGACAGACAAAACTGGGAAAAGATTAATTTTGTGAAAAATACGGCATGCTAATTTAGCAACCAGAATTTGAGGAGATAAATATATCCTTTGAAAGCACAAATATATCTTAGGAAAAAGAAGTGAACGTTTATGGTGCGGTAATGCATGAAAAGCAGTGGTTCTGTCATAGTCAAAGGCAGATTCTTTATTCTTATTTCTTTGACAGAATACAGTGTGTTACTGTATCTGAAGCCAAGTAACACAATAAAGCATTACAGTTAGCATGCAAGGTTATCACTAATTTACCAGACACAATATATTTGCTTTACACTGTTGACTAGTTGTGCCAGTACTTGCCTAAACTATAGGCCATGTGACCATTTTTCCCAAAATGTTATTTTCTTCATTATTTGTCCCCTAGATGGATGAAAATTTCTATGATGATCCAAGTGTTTACACTATCCTGTGCCTACTAATCAGTCTAATCTACATAAAATTCAGTCCACTGTTCATATTCCAATATGTGAATTATATCAGAATTTCTAGAAAAAGAATGCCATTTCATTTTCTTCTCCTTTCTCCATATATGCTGAAAAGGCAATGTGAATATGTCACTGTCACATGTCAAGTAAATATTTAACTCTAAAATCATGAATACAGTGATTTAGTCCAACAGAAAAACTAGGCAAATATACAGCAAATAAGAATTTAACTGCTGCCAAAAAACTATATCCATATATATTAACTACAAATACAATGCCTTATTCCTGAGTACTGTTGGAAAACCCTTTGTAGTTGGATTTCAGCTGCAGCTTATTATAGTCCAGTGTCACTTCATTCAGCTAAAATGTTGAACAACGTCTAGTCTGTCTTTCAGTCCCCAGGAAAATCTCAGCAATTAAGGAAATGGATCTGGGACTACATAGAAAGGACATTTTCTTCTGGTTTGCAGCTTCCCTCAACAACACAGAATGAAACACACCGTTATTACAGAAAGAGTTTAACGAGTCACGGAAGGGTCTTATTTATTAATAACACATACCCTATACCCATCATTTCTATCATTTTTCAATTTGGGGTCACACTCCATAGCGATAGTTTTTCCACCACCGCAAATGGCTATGCAATGATGATGAAGTATTAATCATTAGACATTCTTCTGTATTTGTGTGTAACGCTACACAGCTGCTGTATTCCACGCAAATTTCACTGACAGGTGAGATGCATCCACACCCACACTGGGCTTTCACTTTTAAAGACACAAGGATGCCCTCTGTGATACATACATTTAACTCTTCTCACTTCTGAAAGGAAACGCTACACCAAATAACTCTGGGAAGGACATAGTGAATCAAAACCTAGTGAAATAGAAATCCTAAAATATTTATATTGAATATAATGGAGCCAAACTTTCATTCCATTTATTTGTTTATATTCTATGCTTTATAAATAGACTTATGAGTTTCATAGACAAAATTCTTCACAAGAAGTTTCACAAGAAAACTTTTATCCTTAAAAAAAAATCCTTTTAACACAGTGTTGGAAATTGCTTCAGCTTTCTCAATGAGATGAACATAATTCTTTCAATGGTGGAAAATAACACATCTAGATTTCTCCGAAGAACTTGTTCACAGTACAACAGGAAAAAAATAATTAAAACATAATGATCGCTAGATATTGGAGTTGTACCACTAAAGCTTCTGCTCAAAGACTTGTTTCAGCAGCAATAGACAGTAAATGCCAGGTAAGTCAGAAGCTTAGTAAAGACAGCAATTTTGGAACTAAAAGTTGCTTAGACTTCACCACGATACTTAGTCTGAAGAATAATTCCATTTCAGTCAATGTACCAATCACTTGCTTGAATGCATATGCCTATCTATCCTGCCGAAACTGGTTTACTTATTGTTTTTCAATAAAGCATGAAGGAAAAAAGCTTTTAGTTCCCTTTGAAATCCTCCTCTGAGTTGGGTACCTTGTTCATAGTCAAATCAGCCAGTCAGAAAGAATTAGTAGTAATAGTAGTATCATCATCATCCTCCTCCAAATAAACTTTGACCACTTCAAAGTAAATATTTCAGTGCTTTGTGTTTTATGTATAAAAATACTTAGTTGAGTGAACGCTGTGGCCTTTTGCCCCTTTCATAATAACTCTCCAATTAATTCAGCAGACTTAAAAGACAATTCTATTTCTACATTCCCATGAAACTGTTACAGAGTCCCAGGAATACTGTGCTTTTCCCTTTCCTCTTTTCCAGGCTCAGTTCATTCTCTCTGGTCTCTCCAAAGATTTGCTCTCACTAAAAAAGCACTATTCAAAAACTTTTCAGCATATACATTTTATGTCCTTAACAAAGAACACAAAGAATTTATCTTTCTATACCTTACGGTTGTTAAGCATACTGCTGAACTATAAGCATAAAAGAGATATCCCAACTGAACATTTCCACAGACATTATATCCCCTAGAAAAAATGTTTTTAACAAAATACGTCTGTTTCTCCAAATTCCCCTGTAATTCAAGACTCAGCTAGGACTTCATTGCTAGAGACACTTCTTGCAGTAGGGATATCTATAGTACAATCAATCTCTCAAAATGAAGTTTGGGTACATCTGTATTGCATATTCAGTTAAGTATTTTTAAATCTCTATTTAAAACTGCTTTCCTGAAACCTTATAGACCCATTTTCTTTTCTCCTTTAATTAAGAACTAATCCTTAAAAGTAACCTTTGGACTTGTAACATTAAAGCAGATGTAATACAACGATACAGACACCTCTGTATTCATTTGCTTGCAGAGACAGATCTATGCACTGTAAATATGTATTATCAAATATCTACACAGATAAGCATTTATTTCACATCAGTAAAGGGAACACACACTTCAACATTCTTTTCTGATATTACTGTTGACGGCCAAATCACATATTTGCGTTACATACTTACTTAAACCAGAACAAAAAGGGAACTGCATTAAGGTCTGAAAAGTTATGCTTAGCTTATGATGGAATCTGACAGATGGGAAACACGATATTAAAAGCCACAAGGTGAGCAGACAAAGAAAAGAGACAGAATTTCAAAAGATTTTTTTTCAAGATAACACATCAAACATAATTTATTACAATGCGTTCACTGAGTCAATCAATCATTTACATCCAAGTTCAACAAGTGTATATGAATAACAAAAGACGACAGGTAACTGGAAAGAGGAGAAAATAACATTTTAATTATATTCTTTACTTTCTTCTCCCTCCAATTTTGTGTCTGCTTTCCTGTCATGTATCTTAACAAGGCTTTGACTCTTAGCCAATGTAATTTTTTTTTTTTTCTCATGCTTTGTTTACTTTGTCTTAAAGCAGGCATGTAGACTGCCTTTTAGGAACTTTGAGACATGGGTGTTTTACAGCAGCACAGATAACTTATTTTACGCTATACTACTGAACTAGTAATCCAAATATTAATTTATAACTTTGTAAAAGCAATCATCCTGGAAAATTTCAGTGGCTTCTGTTGTTCAAAGACCAATAATCTTCCACTTACACCTTCTCCATTCTTCTGGTGACATGGAAAAAAAGATCTTTACATGAGAAAAACTCATGTTCATAGACCACAATCCTCATTTGGTGCACACTAAGAAAGCTCTCTTAAAATCACTGATCCTATGCTGCTATTTCCCTAATGACTGATTCTGCTGTATTACATGTCTTCCCCTTTGCATGTTGCAATAAATATCTTGATGCTAATAAATCAACATTCAAGTTTGATTAATTTTTTGCAGTTACCCATTGCTCTTCTCATTTGTATATCTGTACTGAAGCTGCTTTCATGGACATGTGCATGGGGTGACCATCAGCTCTTACATCTTGAGTGGTTTTTGTCATTTAAAAAAACATGAAAACCAAAAACCTCTATCGCTACCAAGGAAACCCCACTCCATTTAGAAGAAAACCCCACTCTTCCAACTGAAGTCTAATTACATTTAGCCACAAAGCTTAATGAGAGTAGAAATAAGCTGTTACTAGTCTGCAGTCATCTCACTGCTGCCACAGACAGAGCACACATGTTTTATGTTACGTCCTCAGCACTGACCCAACTGGCTCAGGACACGGCACTCCGCCACAAAGAACCGTGCTGTTCTACTGGTTTTGAGACAAGCAACTGTGTTTCAAACTCCTGAAGGAATGAACCAGGCAGCAGGAACCACAGCCCTGCACAGAAGCAAGGAAGCTGCCACAATTCAAGGCAGTCCATTCCACAGGGCCCAGGGAGGAAGCCACAGCCTTACCAGGAGCTGTCAATGCACATCACCTTATGTCTGGGCACCTAAGAGCCTCCCGTCTAGCCTGCAGTTGAGAGCTCTGCAGGAGCTAAAACTCAGCTCAAGAGTGCCATATGCCCACAGGCCAGGCAGACAG